TTTTTGCTAGAGTGTTTATCTCTGTTTGCTGTAACTTTGAACCTAAGGCTAGAGGGGATTCTCTGGGCTCTTTAAGTTTGTTTACCCTGTAAAGTTATTTTCCCTCCTGATTTTACAGAGATGATTTTTACCTTTTTCTTTAATTAAAAGCCTTCTTTTTAAGAACCTGATTGATTTTTCCTTGTTTTTAGATCCAAGGGGGTTGGATCTTGATCCACCAGGAGTTGGTGGGAGAAAGGAGGGGGGTGGTTAATTTCTCCTTGTTTTAAGATCCAAGGAGTTTGGATCTGTATTCACCAGGGAATTGGTGAAGAGTCTCTCAAGGCTACCCAGGGAAGGGAATTAGCATTTTGGGAGTGGCGGCAGCGGACCAGATCTAAGCTGGTAGTTAAGCTTAGACGTTTTCATGCAGGCCCCCACATTTGTACCCTAAAGTTCAAAGTGGGGAAGCAGCCTTGACAGTTAAGGTTTGAATATTTTTAAGACTAAGTGAAACCAAAAGTACAGTATCAAATTACTGTATTATGGAATGCTTTTAGGATAATTATGGGAACAATCTGAATGGGTTTATAAGTATTCTGAAATGGGACTGCTGTTTCTTATAAGAAAATAGATGCACAACATTAAAATATGCACACTTGAAACAAAACGCAAAATGTGTACTTGAGGCAGTCAGTTAATTTTGTTACCCTTTCTGGCAGATTATTACCAAGTTGATGTCACTTGCCTTTATAATATTTGAGCTGTATCTTTAAAGGCCAATTCTCTAAACAAGATGCTCAATGTCTGAAAAACACTGTGTGTTTTTCCAGCTCTTATAATATGTTACTAATGATATGTATTACATTATGTCTTATTTTCTTAAAATTATTAACTGTTGTAATCCATTTTAAAATTGCCATGGATGCAGAAGCATTTTTTCTTGTTATGTAGGTCTTGGATACTTTGAGAGAATTCAACTAAGTAACTAGTGAGTGTCTTCCACCCACCCCCATTCATAACTCCATCTCCATATAATTATGTGGCTATAGTAGAAGAATAAATCCCTCCAGCTCTGAGATGGATTAACTGATCCAGAGCACTCTGATAGTCAGCCAGGAATCTGTTCCTCCTCTATCAGGAGCACTGGCTGCTTTGTTTTGATTAAATACTTGTTTTCATTCCAGCAGAAGCTCTTTTCCATTCGGTCAAGGACAAACCCAGAGCCAACCATTTTTCAATTGTTTATGCTTTATAAAATACTTGCCTTTAAGTTTTCCTCTTGGTGAGGAAGGCCATGGAGCTGATATAATCACTTGGCCATCTTCCACACAGTTCATCTTTTTGAGCATAGGGATTGGTTTCAGCCTCCAACACCATGCGAAGGAGAAGAAGATTCTTTAATTAATCAGGACAGCTGCCTTCTCTGCTTTCCCTTCCCCCAAAGCCTGACATTTTAAAGAAGAGGGCCTTATTATTCACAGGGCTGTAATCTACAAAATAGAAAACATTCAAATTATGGATTTATTTTTTGATAGCAGTGGATATCCTGTTGATTTTACGAAAAGCCACTTACATGTAGCTCAGAAGCTTACTTGCCTTACACAGCTTACTTTATGTTACATTCCATCTGATTGTATGCTGCCTTGATTCATTCTGTCATGAAGAATATATGTGTGGCATTGTATGACAATTAAGGGAGATAATCCCCAGACTAACTATCAATATCAGTATCAAGTACCGAATCAGAAGTTTTGGAAGATCAGTGGGGAGAAAAAAGTTTGGGATTCTCACTAGCTCTCAGGAATTGCTCTCCGCTTGATACATTAAAGTTATTACATTTTTATAGAGGTGTGAATTTACAAACAATTTAATAACCAGAGGAAGACACTATTCCCTATTAACAATTTGTATTCTAAAGATTAACAAGATGTATGGCAACAGTTCAAGTGATGGAGGGTGCAGAGGGGTTGTTGATGATGGAAAAAGGGTCAGAGGATTTCCTGAAATTAGTTTTAAAGATGAATTTGAAGGAAAGAGGGTGTTTTATAGACAGAAAGCATAAGACTGTTCCAAACAAAGTATAGGAGGCCATATGAATGAAGGTGTACAACTGAGAAGGTAAGAAGGTTACAAAGGAACCATACACATGCATGTATAACAATAAATATTATACATATTTATAGAAACACACTCACATAATGCAAAAATTCCATTGCTAGTGCCTATTGTAACCTCTTAATATTCACCTTAATTAGTTAATGTTTTTCAAGTGTTGTGAAAATAGAAAGCTCTATATAAATGCTGAGCATTGTTATAACTACCTTGTTTGAATAAAAGCCGTGCATATTGTAAGAAAGAACATTCTTTTTTGTTTGCTAGGCAAATGATATTTCTAGAATCTGTAGCCCCTGTTGTATTTTCCATTGTCACAATGACATCTACTGGTAGGGACAGGTTTAAACACCTGGAGAATTCTTTGTCCACACAGTAACACCTTTACAATTTTCCATCAATATGTTTTTGCAGACTTGCTTAATAACAATATCACTACAGTGATAAAATGTATAGTAAGCAAGAGGATATCATTGTTCAAAGATACTACTAGAAGCTATAAAATACAGCAAACCCTTCAAAAGCTACTTGATAAATGAGTGTAAAAAAATGAATCCATATTCCATGTGTCAAGTCAAAATACCAAACATCCTGTAAGGCCTTTTAATATTATTAGCTGATAAAGCAATAAACTTCTACTATGTCTAAAAATAAAAGAGAAAACTGACTTTACAAAATAATTATCTATTATTGTGGCACTGTAAAGTTGTGTAGGTCCAAAACTAGGGCTTTGTCAAAATAAATGAGATTTTAGTAATTGGTTGTACAAAGCCTAATGTGAACGAAAATAAATGGAGGCTTTTGGGGGTATTTTTATTTGTGTCACATTTCAATGTTTTCCTTTTATTTGCAATTAGAATATTATACATTTGTATGGAAAAATGTTGCAGGTATAAAAATAATGTTTTTGGAAGGCAAATGCATATGTATCTTCATGTTTGTTCTTAACAGGAGCTTAGAATGTATTTGTTTGCTCGGGTATTTACTCAGGATCTTACTGTTTTTGTGGGTACAACTATTTTACAAGAGCAGGGGAAAATTGCAGGTTGGTACTGTCATAGTTAACTGGGCTAACAGCACCTCTAATCCTCCTGGTCTCTCCAAGCCACTGCCCTCTCAGATCTCTAGCCATCACCTGTCACTCAAGGTGGAATCACATGATTCTCCTACTCTTGAGACTGAGCCTTGGATGTAGTCTACTGTGTATAAATGTGATGTACCCCAGCAGGTCTGACTTAGGCTCAGACCCTGCAGTTCTGTTCCCTCCAGGAGCAATGGCTGTGGTAATAGTGACCAGACGGCTTCCTTAAAACAAGCATTATTTATTTAGAACAAAAGCATTTCAGAGAAAGCATATCTTAAAAACAATAAAACAGTATACAGATCTCACTTTTCTCTAAGGCTTAGCATTCCCTGCATCTGGAAAGACCCAACGTCTTTAGATGTCCTCTGTAGAGTCTCTCTCTCTCTCTCTGTCAGCCTGTCTTCCTAGACAGCTTCTGACAAATAGCAACCCCTCTCCTTTTTTCAGAGGGTTTTTAACTGTTTAATATCCTTTACCTCTCCAAGTTGCCAGCCAGGCAATCAATCCTGCGTCTTCCTTGGAGGCAGGAGTAAGGTCCTTGAAGCTGATAGCTTTACCCATTGTATTTCTAATATGCGCTTGAGCAGTAGCTGGGAAGCTACTGAATTGTTTCCTGGTTTGTTCTTCTCACAGCCCCCAGTATAAGTTAGATCAATACAATCATACAGAAAATTATTATGACCCAATATGCAATAACTACTGGTCACTTCTGGCATTGAGGCTGGCCAGCGCCCTGGTGCCAGCCAGGGGCCCATGGCAGTTTGGCCCGTGCTCCTCTGGCTGATGGGGTAGGGTGTGCTCAGGGCTCCTTGTGAACAGGGGGGCAAACCCCCACGCCCCAACCCCGCTCTCCGGCAGGAGCGCTGAGTGGGCAGAGTGGGCCAAACCCCCGCACCCTGACCCCGCTCCCCTGCAGGAGCACCAGGTGCGCGGGTGGAGCAGGGCAAGTCCCTGCACCCCAACTCCATTTCCCCAGCAGGAAACATATGTGACTTGGGGGAGGAGATGGGGGGAATGCAAGCAGATGGGGGGAGGGGTCCCCCTTGCTCTGATCTAAGGCCCCACAAAACCATAACTGCCTCTGGGTTGGGTCTTGTTCAAGGAGTCGACCCCACCATTTCTCCAGTCATCCCTAACCTGCATCTGGGAACAGGAGTGCCCTCAAGCGTTGGCTTAGTGGTCACTGGGGGCCTATGCCAGTGCAATGGCCCTTTTCTCCTCAATCCCGGGGCCCATTCGAGGTGCTCCTATTCGGTGGCCTCTGAGAGAAGGGCCCTGCTGCCCCATTGGGTAATACCTGCTCCGGACCATGGTGCCATGCCCTGAGCTGAGTTCCAGGAACTGGCTCTGCAGGACCCAGCTGGCACAGAAAGAAGAGTACCACCCTCAGCTGGTGCTGGCCTCCTCCTCTCCTGATGATGCTGTATCAGGAGTAGGCGTGTTGCCTCCCCTAGATGACTATAAGGCCCATCAGGAATTGCTAAAGAGGGTGGCCCAAAATTTGGACATACAGGTGGAGGTAGTAAAAGAGTCCTCCCATAGTCTGGCTGACATTGTGGCCACGGCAGTCCCATCAAAAGTAGCCTGCCTCTCAATGTGGCAATCATGGACCCTGTGAAAGCCTTGTGGCAACCCCGCCACTTCCCTTCCCCTCACATCAAAGAGAGCTAAGAGGAAATACTTTGTTCCTGCCTAGGGTTATGAGTTCTCGTACACTCACCCCTTCTTCTCTCCCTCCCTCCCCTTCCCCCCCAGGATCGCTGGTGTTCTCCATTGCCAACAAAGGGGAAAGGAAGGGTCTGCAAGGTGCAACACCAAAAGCAAAGGAATCAAAAACTTGGATTTATTTGGTAGAAAGGTCTACTCTACCAGGGGTTTGCAGCTCAGGATCGCTAACCAGCAGGTGTTGCTGAGCAAATATGACTTCAACATATGGGACTCCATGTTGAAGTTCAAAAACTTGCTGCCTCAAGAAGCCAGGCTGGAGTTTTCCTTGCTGGTGGATGAGGGGAAATTCATAGCCAGAGCTTTCCTTGCAAGCTGCCCTGAATGCAGCGGATTCGGCGGCGAGGTCCATGGTTTCCGCAGCAGCCACGTGTAGGAGTTCATGGCTACAGTCCTCTGGCCTCCTGCAGGAGGTCCAGCAAACTCTCCAGGATCTTCCTTGTGTGAGGGAGCTTTGCTCTTTTTGGAGCAGACTGACATGAAACTTCGTGGACTGAAGGACTCCTGGGCGACCTTTAAGTCCCTGGGACTGTATACTTCAGCGACTTTAAGGAAGCACTACAGATCTCAGCAGTCCTCCAGGCACTCCACCCCACTGGCCTGTCAAGACCTGCAGAAGAAAAGGAGCAGGAGCTTTAGTGTAGACCACTGCCCCTTTTTACCTCAGCATCAATGTTTGTCCCACCCAGACACCTGGGAGGCTCAAACCATGCCTTTTGATGGGGCACTCGAGGACAAACCAGTTCCCAGGTTTTGGGACCCCGTTTCTCATTCATTTGTGGACCTCTTGTCCCACTTCATCCGTGCATGGTCTCATATCACTACGGACTGTTGGGTGCTGTACATGGTGGAAGTAGGCATAGGCGCTGATTCCATGGGTGCTCCAGGACTGGAGCACCCATGGAGAAAAATTAGCAGCTGCTTAGCACCCACCGGCAGCCAAGCTCCCCTCTCTCCCTCCCACTCCCATCCACCGGCAGCCTCTGTGCCTCCTACACGGGAGGGGGGAGGAGGAGGAGTGGGGGCGGGGTGCACTCAGAGGGAGGGGGTGGAAAGAAGTGGGGTGGGGGCAGGAAGAGGCAGGGTGGAGGTGGGGCCTTGGGGGCAGGGCTGGAGTGGTGACAGCGCTGTGTGGGGGTTGAGCACCCTCGGTGAAAATTAGAAGCTGGTGCCTGTGGAAGTAAGCTATAACCTCCAGTTAATTTCTACCTTTCCTTAACACACTCCTTCCCTGTCCCTCTTCAGAGATCTCTCTCACGAGCAACTACTGGCCCAGAAGGTTCAATCTTTCCTTCGGGTGGGAACTGTGAAAGAGATTCCGCAGAATCTAAGGGGGAAGGAGTTGTACTACTGTTATTTCCTAATCCTGAAAGCCAAGGGTGGTCTTAGACCTATCCTACAACTGCGCCAGCTCAACAGCTACCTCAAGAAACTGAAGTGCCGCATGGTTTCCCTGGCTTCCGTTATTCCCTCCCTGGATCCCGGAGACTGGTACACAACCCTTGATTTGAGAGACATCTACTTTCATATATCGATCCTTCAAGGTCACAGAAGGTTCCTCAGGTTCGGTGTGAACCACACACTACCAATTCACAGTTCTCCCATTTGGCCTGTTGACAGCCCCGCAGGGTTTACAAAATGCATGGTGGGAGTGGCTGCCTTCCTGAGGAGACAGGGATACAAGTCTATCTGTATCTGGATGACTGGCTAGTCAATTGTCAGTCCAGGGCCCAGGTGGAGTCTAGTATCCACCTCATCCAGTCAACATTCAAGGCCTTAGGCCTGCAAATGTACAGAAGTCCACCTGCACTCTGGTGCATAGGATAGAGTTTTTTGGAGTGGTGCTTGACTTTACTCAGGCCAGAGCCTTCACCCCAAAAGGCTAGTTTCAGGCCATTACATCCCTGATAGTACACCTTAGGGGCCATCCAATTACATCAGCCCGGAATTGTCTGAGGCTTTTGGGTCACATGGCCTCATATACATATGTAATGTAGCAACCAAGACTACACCTCAGACCCCTCCACGCATGGCTGGCTTTGATGTATTTGCCAAACCACTACCATCTGGACTTGGTTCTCTCAGTCCCCCAGTCCTTCCCTCCTTCAACTGGTGGATGGATCCACTTGCTGTTTGCATGGGTGTTCTGTTTTCACAGCCCCAGCCCCCATCAATATCTCTGGTCTCAGATGCATTAGCGCTAGGCTGGAGAGTTCACCTGGGACCCTTCAGGACTCAAGGCCTTTGGTCTCCAAAAAAGCTCTCTCTGCACATCAATGTCAGAAAGCTCAGACAGTTCGCCTGGCTTGTCAGGCATTCCTGCCTCACGTTATGGGCAAGAGCGTGTTGGTTCTTACGGACAACACGGCAGCCATGTTCTAATCTCAACAGGAAGCAAGGGGCTTGCTCTTCCCTCCTGTGTCAAGAGACAATTCAGCAATGGAAGTTCTGCATAGCCCACTCAATTACCTTGAGGCTTTCCACCTGCATGGAGCACAGAACGAACTGGCAGATCGCCTCATTAGGTCTTTCTGCAGTCACCATGAGTGGTCCCTTCGTCCGGACATCATTAGGGTCATTTTCCAGCAGTGGAGGGCTCCCCAGGTAAATCTATTTGCCACCCAGTACAACAAAAAGTGTCACCAATTCTGTTCCCTGTGAGGTCACAGTTTGGGATCACTCATGGCTGCCTTCCTGCTCTCGGGGACAGGTCACCTGTACTTCAGTTTCCTGCCTATCCCACTTGTGCTCAAGGTTCTGCTAACGAACTAGTGGGGCCAGGCGCAAGTCATTCTAATAGCCCCAGCTTGACCCCATCAGCATTAGTTCGCCACTCTGCTAGGCCTCTCTGTGGTAGCTCTGATCCTGCTCTTTCTACACCCAGACCTGATTTTTTAGGACCACAATCGGCTACTCCACCCAAACCTCAGCTCCCTCCACCTGACAGTCTGGAAGCTCCATGGCTAAACCCCAGAGAACTAGCCTGCTCAGAGCAGGTTCGTCAGGTCCTAATAGGTAGCAGAAAGCCCTCCGCCAGGGCTACTTACCTCTCAGAATGGAAGCGGTGCTCCATCTGAGAGGCTTCTCAATGTGGAGTCTCGCCCAAGCGGTTGTTGCTGCAGGTCATTCTTGAGTACTTATTACACCTGAAACAGCAAAATTTAGCTATCAGCTTTCTATCCTTGGGTGGATAACCGGTCTGTTTTTTCACATCTATCCATTTCCTCAAGGACCTAAAAAGATTATACATCCAAGTCCGAGACCCGGTCCCTCTCTGGGACCTAAATCTGGTTTTATAGTGGCATTGTGCCCCTTATTGTACCTTTCATGGAAGCTGGCTTTCGTAGTGCTTACTACTTTCTCTAGAAGGGTCTTGGAGATCCACACCCTCACATTAGAATCTCTTTACACTGTCTTTTTTAAGGATAAGGTGCAATTACATTCTCACCCTTGTTTCCTCCCAAAAGTGGTTTCACAGTAATCAGGCAATCATCTTACCTGTGTGTGACACTCTACCTCAATGTAGCACTCGAGAACCCCTGTATTCACTATTGTCATATGATTTTGATATGTTTTGTACAATGCATGCCTTGTGAAGTATCATTTTAAAAGTCTTGATCAGTTGAACCTTAATATCCTGGTGAATTGTTTGTGCTATCATTTTATGTGAAGTTGTGAAATATTGCTATGTGTGCGCTACTGAAATGTGTTGTGAGGTTGGAAGATGCCCATAGCCAGCCTTTCAGTTGCAACAAAGGAGCAGCTGTCACTGGCCAGACAGGCGTTAATGTCTGATCAAGAAGAATCCACTCCTGCAGAGCCTGCTCAGGGAAGGCACGTAGACAATGAGGGTGGAAGAAAGTATAAAAGAGGGACAGTGACATCATCACTTGGCTTCCACCTCCCACCTCCTCCCATTTCAATACCTGGAAGATCATCTGGAAGACAAAGACTTTGAACTAGGGCGGGGCGGGGGGGGGACAAACTACAGGCCAGGGGCCACATACGGCCCTTCAGACGTTTTAATCCGACCCTCAAGCTCCCGCCGGGGAGCAGGGTCTGGGGCCCGGGGCTTGCCCCACCGGAACAGAGTCAGGGGCTTGCCCTGCTCCGCACAGCTCCAGGAAACAGTGGCATGTCCCCCCTCTGGCTCCTACACATAGGGGCAGCCAGGGGGCTGCCCCCATCCCAAGCGCTTCCCCCGCAGCTTCCACTGGCTGGGAATCGTGGCCAATGGGAGCTCCAGGAGCAGCATATGCAGACGGGGCAGCACGCAGAATTGCCTGGCCGCACCTCCACGTAGGAGCTGGAGGAGGGACATGCCGCTGCTTCTGAGAGCTGCTTGAGGTAAGCGCCACCCGGAGTCTGCACCCCTGACCCCCTCTCACACCCCAACCCCGGGCCCCTCAGTCCCAGCCCAGAGCACCCTATTGCACCCCAACCCCTCATCCCCAGCCCCACCCCAGAGCCTGCACCCCCAGCTGGAGCCCTCCCCCATCCCACACCCCAACCCCCAATTTAATGAGCATTCATGGCCCGCCATACAATTTCCATACCCAGATGTGGCTCTCGGGCTAAAAAGTTTGCCCACCCCTGAACTAGGGAGACTGGACCCAGGCTGGATGGGAGTTCAGTCTGTGTATTAGGAACTGTGAGCTGCCTGTAACATCTATTAAGGTGAGAGATTGTTTGATTCAAATCTTGCCTAGTCTATGAAAGTTAGAATTTGCCCGCATTTCTATTTTCATTTCTTAGGTAACCAGTTTTGATCTCTACGCCTGCTACTTATCACTTAAAATCTATCTTTCTGTAGTTAATAAATCTGTTTTATATTTTACTTTAAAAAGCGTGGTTTTGGTTTAAGTGCTTGGGGAATCTCAGCTCGGATTAACAAGGGCTTTTGCATGTCCATTGCCCTTTTGTTGGAGTGATGAACTAATTAAGGAGCTTACGCTGTCCAAGAGAATCTTCAGCAGTGTAAGATGGTATATTTCTGAGGTGCAAGGCTGGAGTGATTTGCTGGTGCCTCTCTCTGTATGATTCATGAGTGGCTCAGGGAGCATTCATGCAATTTAGCTGGGTGTGTGGCTCCACATGCTGATGCCTGAGCGATCACAGTGCCTGGAGGGGTTTTGCTGCTTGTCACTGGCACAGCATTGTGAGAGACAACCCAGGCGGGAGAGTTAAGGGAGCACAGTGGTCCCACAGTTCCAGGTTGTACCCCGAGGATCCCATCGTGCTGTGTTCTACCCAAAACCACATGCAAACAGGGAAGAGCAGCGACTTCACTCATTGGATGTTAGGCATGCTCTAGCATTGGACATGAGGCGTGCCCTAACATTCTACACAGAAAGGACCAAACCATTCCGGAAATCCACCCAGCTGTTTGTAGCTGTAGCGGACAGGATGAAGGGTCTTCCCATCTCTGCTCACAGAATTTCATCTTGGATCACATCATGCATCCACAAGTGTTACAAGCAGGCCGGTGCTCCACTTTCAGCTATCCTAACTGCTCACTCCACAAAAGCATAAGCATCATCATCAGCATTTCTAGCACAGATCTCTATTCAGGATATTTGCAGAGGCGCAACTTGGTCATCAGCGCATATGTTCTCTTCTCACTATGCCATCACTCAGCAGTCTAGGGACAATGCAAGATTTGGTCGAGCTGTCTTGCAGTCAGCATGCCCATAAACTCTAATCCCACCTCTTATTCAACTGTTTGTGAGTAACCTACAGTGGAATGCACATGTGCAAGCACTTGAAGAAAAAAATGGTTACTAACCTCTCCATAACAGTTGTTCTTTGAGATGTGTTGCAAATATCCATTCCACGAGCCGCCCTGCTACGCCTCAACATCAGAATTGGCTGTAAAGAAGCAACTGGGGTGGGTGTCGCCAGCTGAGTCCTTCATACCAGCGCTATGAGCGCATGGCACCAGAGGGCGCCCGAGCCGCCCTGACGGGTACCACTGAGGGAGAAATTTCTGGCCACTTTGCTCGGGACATGCACACATCTACAATAGAATGGACATGTGCAACACATCTTGAAGAACAACAGTTAGGGAAAGGTTAGTAACCATTTTTTCTTGAATTATCTGTGTTTGTAACCAATTGGGCAATGGACAGTCAGGCTTAGTGGTGGAAAGGAGATTTGGCCTACCAGTTACAGCTGACTCCAGGGTAGGCAGAGTCCAGGAAACAAGTCAAATGCTAGAACTGGAGGGTAAACTGGAGCAGTCAGCTGGGGGCAGAGCAAGGGATTAGTACCAGAGAGACAGAAGGATGCCAGAACCAGAAGGGTCAACCAGAGTCGCACGCCAGAGGCAGAGCCAGGAATTGAAGACAGAGGGGAGCAGGGGCTGGAACAAGGGCAAGCACAGCTTCTGTGATGATATGTGTTGAGCAGCCACTGATCTTTCTTTTCTTTTTCTCCTTTTTATGGCAAAACAGACTTGACTGAATAGTCTATAACCACTACCAACTATAATTCCTCTGTACTTAGTGGTTTATACCCTCTCGCTCTGCCCTTTGTCTTTCAGATAATGGAACAGTGTCTTTTTAATAATTTTTACTAAATAATAATGTAATTTTTTAATCCTAAAATGTCTGAATTTCTCAAAAAGATTTTCCATTTCTTTATCAAAGCCCTTACATACCCATAAATGGTGATCAGTTGTTTCTTCCACTTTACAGAGTGCATATATTCCATCATAGTGTCTCCTTATTTGAAAAATATTTTTGTTTAAGCCACAATGACCATATAAAAACAACAAGGAGTCCTTGCGGCACCTTATAGACTAGCAAATTTATTTGGGCATAAGCTTTTGTGGGCTATAACCCACTTCATCAGATGCATGGAGTGAGAAATATAGTAGGCAGGTATAAATATACAGCACATGAAAAGATGGGAGTTGCCTGCCTATTATAGCCCACGAAAGCTTATGCTCAAATAAATTCGTTAGTCTCTAAAGTGCCACAAGGACTTTGTTTTTGCTGATACAGACTAACACAGCTACCCCTCTGAAACCAATGACCATATAGTACTCTAAACAAAAGTACTTCATTAGTCTTATCCAGGCCCTAAAGTATATCATAAGCCTCAACTATAGGGCACAATTAAAAAAATCATCTTCCTCTTTTTTCATTAATCCAAATTTTTTGTCATTCTCCTTTTAAATTTTTCTGTACTCCGCTTTTTAATTCCTGTTTACTCGAGGTTATTTCTATGTTAATCCTTCCATTTCTTACAACTTTTGCTGCTTTGTCTGCCATTTCATTTCCTGTTATCCCAATATGCGTGGGGATCCATGCTAATGCTACATGTACTAACTCTGTTACTTGAAATACAATTTCACTGATTAAATCACTTCTGTGTACTGAGACACCCTTTTTGATTGCCACAAGGCCTGAGACTGAATCTGAAAAAATGACTGCTGCTGCTGCTGGGCGTACATCCCAGATCCAATTTAATGCTAGCATTATTGCTACTAGTTCGGCTGTTATGACAGCTGCATAATCAGATATCCTTTTAGATGTACTAATTTCCAATTTTGGTATACAATATGCCGTTCCTACTCTTCCTGTTTTTTCTTGTTTGGACCCATCTGTATATATTTGACAAAACCAACTCCACTTTTCATCTATATACTAGGGGCTTGTCTCCATTTACCAGTGGATCGATGTTGCGGCGATCAATCCACCGGAGGTCAATTTACCGGGTCTAGTGAAAACCCACTAAATCAACCCCCGATCTCTTTTTTACCCTTAAGTTTATAAAATAAATCTAAATCCACATTTGGACATGTGGCTTTCCATCTACAACTAATTTTCCCATAACTAAAAGTTTTGACTTTGTTCAGCTTTTCCTTGTCTTTCAACTCCTGCATCCACACATTAAATCAAATGACATGTGGCATTCTAACATTATGTGATACAGTTTGACTATCTAATTCCCAACAATCCTCATATTTGTTTGGTACCTTCATCATTGTGGTTACCATTAACTTTGGCCAGAAAGTTAGGTCCTGTAGTTTCATTCGTAGCTTCTAGAGAAATGCCACTTACACTGTCTGTAGCGTGCCTATAGGTGTTGTAATAAATGCACTGCATGCAATTCATAGTGCCTGGGCTTGTATTAAAACTAATTTTTTAAGATCTGATTTTGATGCTGACCCAAAAGCTTGGTAGCTATAGTCAATAACTGGTCTGATTAAGGCTCTGTATACTATCATCAGTATTTTCTTTCCACCCTCAAATTAGTCCCAGCAAGACTTAAGCAGGTCAATCCTTCCTGTATATCAGTGTTTCTCAAACTGGGGACCGCAGGACCTGCTAATCAACTCCTTCCCCTCCCTCCCTCAACTCTCCTGCCCCAGTGCAGGTGGTGCTGGTTGGGAGAGAGGGAGGAGGGGATATTGGGGGAGGGGGCAGAAAGAGGCAGGGAAGAGGAGGGGCGGGGTGGAGCCTCGGGGAAGGGGTGGAGTGGGGACAGGGCCTGGGGCTGAGCGCGGAGGCTTGGCGGTCCTCGGCAAAATTTTAAATCAAAATGGGGGTCCTCGGGTTACTAAAGTTTGAGAACCGCTGCCTTACGTGTATCTTTAACATAGTTTATATGATTTTTCCAAAGTAATTTAGTAGCAAATATTACCCCTAAGAATTTGAACCTTGTAACTATATATATTTGTTCTCCACACAGATACAGTTTACATTCCTTTGTAAATTTTCTTTTTGTAAAGATCGATCCTTTGGTTTTAGCACTGGAGAACTTGAAACCCCATGCATTTCCCCAGTCAGAGGTCTCATAACGCTTTGTTGATTCTCTTTTCTGCCACCTCAATATTCCTGCTCCTAACACAGAGATTTTCAGGATCATTTGTGATTAGAGTGACACCTACTCGGAACTTATTTGTTTTGGGAGCTCATTTATCATAATATTAAATAATACTAAATAACACTTCCTTGAGGTGCACCATTTTTAATATGCATATTATATTCTGTATAGTATCTTCATATTTACCCCAACAACATAATAGATCAGGACTCTCTTTAATGAACGGTCTTTTAATCTGGAGGAAAACGTCACTTTGGTTTTCATCATTACTCACCCCTTGGAAAGTTTCTGCTAAAACTTTTGTTTCTCATTATCAGAACTTCTAACTATGTTGTGAGTCCCAATAAAACCTGGGATGTGGCTACTCCCAGTCTGAATTCCATTCATTGTTTTAATTTGACCGTATATTTCTGATGTCTTAGTATCTTTGTTTTTCCACCCACCGTTCTTCCTCCAACTCTTTCTCTGATTTTTTTTTATTAATTCTCTCTGTTATTGACTTACTTCTTTTATACTTCATCAGATCTTCACTATTCATTGTATTTGCAGGTTTCTTTAACTGCCATTTTGCACTCCACATTCCTCCATGGAAGTGAGTTTTTAGTTTGGGGGTTACTTCAATGTCCTAGGTATGGCTATAGAAGTTGATGCTATTAATCCCTCCCTTACATTATCATTGAAATTCTCTACGTCATCACTCACACGATTATTCACAACTTCATGACATTCACTTATAAATAGCTCCCAGTAAGCATTCTTAACATTCCAGGTGAGTAATTTTCCATTACCTTCAACCTTACCTTGCCCTTGAAAAATATTAAGTATAGGGGTATGATCATTCCCCATTCCTTTTTCCTTATATATTTATCAGTTGCATTTATTTGCAATTTCTATTGTTATAATTCCTAGGTCTAAGCATGAAAAACTACCGTCTGCTGCATTAAATCTAGTTGGGGTGCCATTGTTTAAAACCACTAGATTGTTTTCATCAAATAAGTTTTCTATGCATGCACCATTTTTATCAGCTCCCTTACTTCCTCACAATTTATGACGACTATGATATATGGTCTTTTAGCACTCTTCTCCATTTCTTGTAACTTTGAACTTTCTAATTTCCCATACGGGTTATATATATTGTAAATCCTTAAAGAAATATTATTCTTCTGCATTGGGATCTCAACAGCATTAGATTTTAGTCTTAATTCTTATTCTCTGCTACTATGTAGTTTAATCTTTCCCTTATGAAAATATAAATGCCTTCTCTTCTTCTTAGTTTTGAGTCTTGCCTAAAGGCAGTATACCCTGGAATTCTAAAAGCAAGCTTTTCAACCCACCATGTTTCCTGGATACATATGACATCCAGTTTAGTTTTCCATTATATTTTCTTCTTTTAGTTCTTGACCACGTGCTATCGGACTGTGTCCATTTCAATAAAAGACTGAGATCCCCATACTAATCATATTTCACCATTAATTCCATTCAAAATTACATGAATACGGTCCATTGACAAGTTGCTAACATACACATTTTTCTGCTGCCCTTGTTATGATTTTCATTTTTTTGATTTTTCCCCAGTTTGTGATGTACAATTTATCATTTCTATCATAAATACAATAAACCTTTCTTTTTTCCATTACTAGTATATCATTGCCTATTCCTTCCACAGGGTTTCATATTCTTTATAGAATGAGGCTGTCTACAGTTCCCCTCTTTCTGTGCTGATTGTCTCTTCTTTCTCCACCTGATACTTTGAGAATGTCCTCACAGGTTCCACTAAGATATATTAACAATGTTTGTCTTTTGTAGCTCTTTAGCTTGACTTACTGCAATTCACCCCTATAAGCCAGACTGACTGTGATTACCATCACAGTTACAATATTTGACCTCTGTCCCTTCTATACAATTTTCATAGAAATGCCCTCCCTCCCATTTACCAGATCTTGTTTTCCATTTACAAACAACTGCTACATGTTCATACCTGTTAGCACTTATATATCCCCCTCCACCAAGGTGTTATGACTTGGTTCTGAATATCTGAAATCCTGTTACTTTCTCAGGTAGAGTCCTTCCCTTAAATGTAATCACTACAGCTGTTGATGACTTTCTTTCTCCTCCCCATTTACTAATTAGTCACTTACTTACTAACACTTTAACTTCTCCTATGCTTTTGGTTATCTCATCATTGGTCAGCTCTAATGGCACTCTGTGTATTACCCCCTTTATTTCAGTCACATACTTAGGTAGCTGGCAACTTATTTTAACTTTCCCTAGTATTTTAGTTTTTAGCAGTTTATCATCTTGCTCTTTGTTTTTACATTCAGCTAAAAGATCACCATCTCAGTGTCTCCCAGCTCTTACAATTCTCCCTATGCCTTTTTTTATTTCAGTCAGCTACTTTCACACGATTAACACCTAATCTTATTTCTTTAACTACGGATTTTACAATTATAACATTTTGGTTTATTTCCTTTCTCGGCTTTGCTTTTTTTGATGATATTATCATCATCTGATTCTGCTTCCACTCTCTTCCCCCTCCCTCCCCTCCATTCTCACTCTCTAATAGACTCTTTTTCAGTTTCCAGAGTGACTTCATTCGGGGCCAGAAAATCCTCCATCTCCCTCCCACAGGCCAGGGCTGCCAGCCAGTCAGCCACTGATCTGCTATGGGGGTCAGGCTTATAAGCAGGACTGCTAAACCAGCAGCCAATCAGGGCCAGTGCAGCTGGGCTCATTGGTTGCCTAGCAGCGTTACTTAGTCAGGAAGCAGTCAGCCGCTGGTCCAGTGCCTCACAATGGTGTCCAGTGCTTGGCAGTCATAGATGCAGCATGAGATTCAGCTTCACCATAAAACACAAGAAGAAGAAAAAGAAGTTCAGTGGCTGCTCAAAGCATTTGTCTATAGTTGTAACAGTCCTTTGCCTGCTTGTTCCTAGCCCTGCTCCTGTCTTGCCTGTCTCTGGATAACCCAATCCTGATTCTCAGCTCTGATTCCTGACTTTGGCTCTGACTCTTGGCTCTGGTGCCTGGCCTCTGACTTTGATTTGGAGGCTCTGAGTCCTGACTCCTGCTCTAACCACTAGCAACCACTGCCCACATCCCAGTCGCTGACATGGTATGCTTATAAAATTTGCAAATGACACCACACTGGGAGGGGTTGCAAGCACTTTGGCAGACAGGATTAGAATTCAAAAGGACCTTGACAAATTGGATAACTGATCTGAAATTAACAAGATGAAATTCAATAAAGACAATGGCAAAGTACTTCGCGTAGGAAATAAAAATTAAATACACAATTACAAAATGGGGAACACCTGGCTAGGCAGTAGTACTTCTGAAAAAGATTTCAGGGTTATAGTGGACCATAAATTAAATATGAGTCAATAGTATGATGCATTTACTAAAAAGGGTAATATAATTCTCAGGTGTATTAACAGGAGTGTTGTATGTAAGACACGGGAGGTAACTGTCCCCCTCTACTCAGCACTGGTGAGGCCCCAGCTGGGCACCACGTTTTAAGAAAGATTTGGACAAATGGGAGAGTTCAGAGGAGAGCAATAAAAATGATAAAAGATTTAGAAAACGTGATCTTTAGAAAACCTGATATATAAGGAAAAGGTAAAAAAAATGGTTATGTTTAATCATGAGAAATAATCCTAATAGTCTGAAGTTAGTGAATGGGAATCACCAGGACATAGAAGGATTTTGAGTTCTAATCCTCAATTAGGTTATAGGGTGAGGAAGCATTTAAGGATAACCACAGCTGATTTTCTAAATGAATGCAATACAATATAAACCGAGAAAGCACATTAAAAATATACCTCTTTCTGTGCTCACAATCTCACTTACTCTATTCCTTTAGCTAAGAGATGTGAACCAAAAAGAATCAGGGTGTTAACATCCTGTTACGGTAACGGTAATGCTTTAACCCTACTTACATGAGACATTTTGAGTTTTTGCCCTATACGTTAATCACTTAATTCCCAGCATTCATCATATATTAATTTAGTGTTTCCAATGACTTTAGCCCAAAAGGTTGAGTTTAAAAGCTTAATTCTAAAAGTAATGGACATTTCACCTGCAGCTATCTGCAAGACACACAGAGGCACTGTGATGAAGGCATCCATGCAATTTGTAACATCTGAGCTTGGATTGATTCAAACTTTCTCAAATTCATTTTCAATGCCAAACTGAAAGCCTGGCACCCATAGTCAATAATTAGTCTTTTTAGCTTTCTGTTAGTATTCCCACACTCCAGGAAGTTCCAGAAATACTTTTAAATAATAGCTGATTCTGCCTTTACACTTATCTCTAATTTTTTCAATATGATCCTTCCAAGTGAGCTAGCTATCAAATATCACACCTAAACATCGGAAGCTTTTAACCTGCCACTGCTGCTGGGCTTAAGAGCCGGTCTGCTGACTCTTCCAACCAATCAGGCGGGGTAGCCTATCAGGCAGCCTATTACAGACCAGCTGCACTCATCATGTTGCTTCCAGACTGCCTCTGCTGTAGGCCCTGCTTCTAGACATACTCTCCACTCTATTATCCACATCTTTAAGTAAAAGACTGAATAGTACTGGACCTAGTACAGACCCCTGCAGGACCCTACTAGATACATCCCCACAATTGGAGTGAACCATTGATAACTAATCTTGGAGTACAGTCTTTCAAACAGTCATTCACCCACCTATAGTAATTTAATCTAGTTCACATTTCCCTAGTTTGCTTATGAGAATGTCATGTGGGATTGTGTTAAAAGCCTTACTAAAATCAAGATATAGCAAACATTCAGCTTTCCCCCATCCTTTAGGCCAGTAACCCTGCCAAAGAAGGAGGTTGTTTGGGCATGATTTGTTCTAGACAAATCTATGTTGGCAATTACTTATTACCCTATTAGTGCTTACACATTATCCTCTAACTGCTTAAAAACCAATTGCTTACAAATTTGTTCCAGTATCTTTCCAGGTATCAAAGTTAGGCTGACTAGACTATAATTCTCTGGGTCCTCTTTCTTCCCTTTTCTAAAGATTGGTATTATGTTTGCCCTGTTCCAGTCCTCTAGGATCTCACCCATCCTTCATGAGTTCTCAAAAATAATCACTAATGGTTCTGAGATTGTTTCAGGTAGTTCCTTAAGTATCCTAGGATGAATTTCACTGGTCTTGCCAACTTGAATACATCCAACTTATCTAAATATTCTTTAACCTGTTCTTTCCCATTTGTTGCTAATATTCATTGCTGTTTGCAGTGTTGTTGTAGCTAGGTGGACCCAGGATATGAGAGAGACAAGGTGGATTACTGAACTACGGTAATTTCTATTGGTGAGAGAAACAAACTTTCGAGCTCCACAGAGTTTTGTGATGAGAACTGAAGAAGAGACCTGTATCAGACAACATGCTAAACAAACAAAGTCTTTGGAACAATGTCAGTTCTGAGCAGCTGCTGAGGAAGTAATGAGTAACTGATGAGAGGGCTTAGTTTTTTTTTTTTTTGTAATTTTCATCTTATGGATGTCAAAATGACTCAGCTGCAATATACAGCCCTCTCACTCATCTAGCATACAGATGTATTCTCATGAGATCTTCTAGAGCATGTATTAACCTAGTGCAAATAGAGCCATTTGTAGACAGATATATATATACACACTGCTCCTACTGTAGCCAGTAGGCGTTATGAACACCTACGAGATAGATGTGCTCACAATCTTTAATATAGGTGCTGGCACCATATTTTTAGGGAAGACGCGTCTTAAATGTTGACAGTATTATATACCTTGATCGTACGCACTTTGGGGCAGGGACCATCTTTTCATTCTGTGTTTGTACAGTGCCCAGCACAATGGGATCCGGGTCTATGACTAAGGCTCCGAGGGGCTATGATAATATACCTAATTAATAAAATAATATAGCTACTTACAAGTAATTCAAAGAATAAAAATGGCACAATAAAAATACTCATCATGAACTGTGATAGGTGAAACTCCATTATTGTTTCAATACACTACACACTGCTAACTGTAACTTTAGTCACAGTTATTACTTATAATAAAGCTTTCTGTGAATGAATTCATTCAGTCTAAGAAGATTCTGCTGTGTTTATTGTTATAGTTTTGTTCAGACTGCTAGAGCCTTTCACTTAGTGATAAATCTGTTAGGACAGCACAGAATACATCCATGTCACTTACAGAATGTCTTTGGAAAGGGAAGCCTAAAAGGTTTTCCAATTAAATTACCAGGATTGAAATGAAGCAAGAAGATACAACATTTCATCTGTGTGGATGCTGAAATTTCCATCTTGTCAGGTGAAATGGTGCAAAATTTATTCTAAAAAGACACATTTTTTCCCAGCTACAAACATTATGCCAAAGTTGATTTTAGGAAAGAAGTGGATAATGGGTTATCTTGTGAGATGGCAGCTATGACATAAATTTTGATTTGACCACAATCTACCCTGCACAGCTCAGTGGCTGAAATAGTAGCAATACAGATACAGAATGGCAGCCTCATACCTTGCCCATAGGTTTTGAAGTGTGAATTTCATCCTCTCCAACCTTCAGCACATCACCCAATTTATTCTGTCTGGTACAGGAAGAAGTAAATTTCACTCTCATAACAGAAAAAGGGGAATAGTTAGAAATAATGGAGCATTCCAGGCAAAATCTGAAATTTTACTAATCCTAACCACCCAAAAACACACTGAATTCTCCATCCAATCTGACAGCCCATGCTCGAATTAAGCCAGGAAACAGATATTAAAGCATCAAGTACTGAACAAGAAACAAAAGTAATATTGGATATGGTGGGTCACAGGTCAATGCCTAATGCCTCATCGGTTTTCTAATGAGAATACCTCTGCAGTAACTTGTCTTTCAAACTAAATTTTGATCTTAATTCTGTAGTTATGTTAGCCTCACTTTCCACATAAAAAAAACACAACAGTAATTCTTATTGTAGTAAAAAGAACAGATTTGGTTCTTAAAACCTTGGGCAACTACATAAGTAACATAACACTGTTAATATTACTTAGATATTTTAGTTGGCTACACAGTGACTCGCCTCAATTGCATGTTTCATGAAGATGACTCATACATCCTTTCTTTGAAGGCATCAAATTACAGAACACATTTGGAATGGAAAACATGTTTTACTTAAAACGTTTACAGAAATATCATTAGGACCAAGTATGTATTCATGGGGAAATAGCGTTTCTGAGTTCCTTTAAATTATGGTGGTGGTCCAGGATATATGAAGATTGTCCTTTTTTTTGTCATTTTCTGGCAGTGTGCTACTGTTTTAAAAAATTGTACCCAGCTCCTTTTATGATGTGTGATGCTTTGCAAATGCAGATAAATCATAATGGTTACAATGATAATTAAGAACAGCTTTGTCTTAAAATTCTAGAGCCAGATTGTTGCTATTCTTCTCCGTCCCCCACAAATTGCCATATGGAAGGTCTTTTCTGTGCACAAGATCTCTCTGTTCCTGTGCAAAAGTAAGGGGTCAGCCCTGCTCCATGGCACATATTCTTAATCTCTGGTACATGGAAGTTCTCTGCAGGATTCGGAAGGCAGAGAGGCAATGTAAGATATACATTGTTCCTCCACCAACCTCATGCAGAATCTGTAGAAAAGTTAATACAGTCTGAGACTGCAGCAGGTATGGGAATCCATAACAATCTACATGAATTGTAAGATATTCAGATCTCTATCCACCTTACTTTAACTGATCATTATTCTTTGAGAAGTTAATGAAGATAAGTTTTTCACCTGGGAATTTCCTTTCTTTTCCTTTTTATTTTTTAAAGGAGGAGCATCTCATAGATAGGATCAGGTGAGACGCAAAAGAGATCAAGGATATATTGGTTTTATCTGGGGAGAATAGTATATAGTTGTGAGGACAGAGTTGAAACTGTTTGTAGAAACATTTTTCTATGCTGAAATCCAACATTTGCAGGAATCAATTTGTATAATGGGATGGGCTAAATTAACATATAACTGCTACTGGTGCACTCCCCTTTCCTGCACCTTAGTGTAACTCTTTGCTGAAATACAGGCCAGAGTTCAGTCTTTGAAGGATTTTTTTTGGAAAGCATCCCACATGGGGCTCAGCAAAATTTTTAAAATAGTTTATTCCATGAAAAATGCAGTTTCAGTCAGCCTGAAACTATTCATGAATTTGCTCAATAGTTTTTGCCATTTTTAAAAAAAACTAAATTCACAAGGGGACCTTGGTATCCTTCACAAAACACATAACTGTGTAGGTGAAGTTCCTTGGATAGCCTTTAGCCCAGTGGTTAGGGCACCCATCTGGAAGAAGGAAGACTCAGGTTCAAATCTCTGCTCTGGCCTGGAGCAGAGATTAGAATCCAGGTCTCCCCTTCCCTCACCCGCATTCCAGGTGGGTGTCCTCACTACCAGGCTATAGGCCAGGGGTAAGCAACCTATGGCACGTGTGCCGAAGGCAGCACGTGAGCTGATTTTCAGTGTCACTCACACTGCCTGAGTCCTGACCATCGGTCCGGGGGGCTCTGCATTTTAATTTAATTTTAAATGAAGCTTCTTAAACATTTTAAAAACCTTATTTACTTTACATACAATAGTTTAGTTATGTATTATAGGCTTATAGAAAGAGACCTTCTAAAAACATTAAAATGTATTACTGGCACGTGAAACCTTAAATCAGAGTGAATAAATGAAGACTCAGCACACCACTTTTGAAAAGTTGCTGATCCCTGCTATAGGCTATTCTTGGGTGGGTCACTCTCAGTCTGTCATGTTGAAACTGTTCCACTTTGTATAAAATTCTTGAATATTCATTGGAACGGGGATTTGAACATGGGGCTCCCTCCACTTGGGTGAGTGACTAACAACTGGGCTGTGGGATATTCTGTAGTGGGTTTTTCTCACTCTCTCCTGTTGAAGCTGTTCCACTTTGTGGAAAATATTTGAACAGTTTCTGGGCCAGAAAGAGAGAGAGAATGTTTCTATATTCTTTTTGTTTCTGTTTCCAATTCTGACACTGACCCACTGTGAGAGCTAAGACAAGCCACTTAACCTCACCGTGCCTCAGTTTCCCCTATTTATATATTGGGTATGTTAATGCTTATTTCCTCCTAGAGTTTAGGCAACACAGGGAGATATCCTGAGCTAGCATCTGATTAGGTGCAGCTAAGTCCCTTAAAAGAAGGATGGATTAGTTGTAGACAGAAGACAGCAGTATGGACATTCTGTGTTCTAGAAGTCAGGGCAGGGAGTGCTGAGGAAATACAGGAGCGATCCATTTTGGTTTGTATTTTGTAGTTTTGAGTTTACTTTTTAAACTGTGTGGAAGAATGCAGGTAGAAGCTTTTGCCAAGTTGGACATCATACAGAACCCCTGCAACAAAACCCAACCCAGAGAAGGTGATTGTCAAACACACCTCAGCCTCCAGTGGATTTTTCTTGTCATTCAGCAACTGGCCTTACTACAAATCCTACATCACCAAGACTACTTGCCCATATTCCCTCCACCCAAGGAAGACTGGCCCTTGTTCTGTCTGGAACCTCTGCAGTACCCCTATATCCTGCTGGCCCAGGAAGTGAAGACCTGACCTTGGACCCACATGTTAGTCTTCCACATGACAGCATATTGCATTACCAGTAGCCTGCCAGGCCATTATACTTCAAAGATGCTCACATTGTCTTGCTGCATCTAATTATGATATTATAATGCAAAACTAGTAATAAATTTCTGCAGTGTTTGAAGTCATTACAACTTAAAATATTGTTTTTGTAGGGGTGGGTCCAGGGAAGTTAATTGGTTTAGCAATATGGATGGTAGATGACACTGATATTTATCCTTCCTCTGAGAGTAAACAAGCTAACTTTAAGAAAAGGACTTGAACTAGCTAATACACTAACAAAACCAAACAAAAACATTTAATCTAAGTCAAACACCCATGATCAGAGAGGATAATGTGTAATAAGTACTATTACAGCAATAACTTCACCCCACCCATTAGCTGGTTGACCAAGAGGTCAGCCAAGCAAGATTCAGGGTTTTTTCCTCCTTTTGTAATAGTTTGTTTTATCTGTTCCCATACGGAGATTATTTTCAGAACATTTACATGTATTTGTCATAGTTGCCTCCCTAGGGTGGCCCTGAGAAGAAGTTATTCCACAACAAGCTAGAACAGGAATGTAGTCAGTTACAAGAAGAACAGTGCTTGACTGAACATACATACTGAACTATCAGAGAGAAGCAGATAACTTAACAATTGATATCAGTCACTGGAACTTTAATAAGAGTGTTTCCTCTGACTGTTCACCAGGCTCTTCGTTTAAATTGGGGCTAAAAAACAAAGTGGTTCACATAGTCTGAATACAAATCACTTAATCCCTCAGATAATCAGGTATCTCTGTCACAAACTCACTAGTTCTCCCAGTTAACTATGGAGTCTTCCAGGAAAGACAAAGTGAACAAAATTTGAACACCTTGTGTAAAAAGAAAGATGGGGGGGAAATTAAATACAGGTGTTCCTTCTACATCATGAAGAAGCAAAAGAGGGCACAAACCCACTCCCCCCCCCACCCCCAACACACACCAAGGTCATTTTTAAAACTCCAGTGCTATTTAAACAGCTAGCACCAACTTCAGTTGCAAACCGCAGCTCAGTGAGTTGTAAGAGAAAAGAAGTTACCCTTTTCCTTTGGCCATAGACTCATAAGCCATAATTGCGTAGGAAGAAAACTAAGGAACCATTTCTGCAAGAAAAAGGAAAAAGAAGTGTAGAACAAAGAGCTCTACAGCACTAGAAACAGACACTAAGTCATTTACTCAATGTAACAATGAAACACCCATTCCAGACAAGCCATTAGAAAAACTTTTAATAACAAATTGTGCAAAAAGGAGTATGCCAATTCAACCAAGAAACACTGTTCAAATACAAATCCCCTTAGATCTCAAGGAAGGACCAAGAGAGATGGGGCAATGTTTTTTCATGGGGAGAGAAAGTTGGCACCCATCAACAACCTGCCCCCACAAAGACTGCTGTGCAATTTTTGACATTTTTAAATGTCCCTGTGGTCAGGCAGCCACCTGCTAAGCACCTCCTCATGGCCTCAGTTGGCTTCACAGAACTCTGCCTCAGTTTTCCCTCCCCAGGGTTTTCTCTCTCTCCCAGGAATTCACAGGGCTCAGCTCTCCAGCTATGTCACCATCAGAGTTCCATTCCCTTTCAGGGTAATGAAAGTCCCAACAAAGAAGTTCTTTTGCCCCACTTGGGCTCATCAGCTTGTCTTCTGGCCTCCCTGCTGTGGGACAGAGCACTAGCTCCTAGGTTGCTTCCCTAAATCCCTCTCACAATCTCAGCCTTTCTAGCCTATCTTTCAGTCATCCTTGCTCTAGGATAGGGTCCCAGGTAACTTCCGTTGAGTGCCCTGAGTCCAGGGCCATAGAATCCCAAATAGCTCCTTCTGGTTCCTCTTCCAAACTGTGTTCTCTGCCCTTTCCTGAGGCTCAGATGTTCATCCGTCTCCCACCTTATCCCAATTAGTCCTACCCCCTTAGGCCAGGAAGCCACTAATTATGAAACAGGCACAGCTGGTCCCATTTCCCCTTAGAGGAGCCAGTCATCCTGTGACAGTACGAAGCTAAGGTGGAGTTTTGATTGGAGCAATTCCTGTGAGATCTTCCTGATGCACAATGGAAGCACACAGGCAATATGAAACCTGCTCCTCTGAATACATTGAGCCAGCTCCACAGACTGTTGTAGTGGAGCAGTAGACCCACGATCTCCCTGACCCCTCTGGGGAAATTTACACTTCAGGATACATAGCGCTCCTTGCCCTTCCTGAGTGCAGAGGCTGCGATTGTCCCCAGCCCTGGTATAGGGCACACAAGGTGGTGGTCCCACTTTACTTCCTATACATCCAAGAAAAGACCAGGGACACTAAAATCAGAGTTCGTGTTCAACAGGGGGATGTTATTAATATTTAACGTTTGTGCCTATTCATATGAGTATTATCACAGAGTTTTGCTCAAATTTAAATATTTCTAAACATCTTAATCTTTAGACACACCGGAATAATTTTTGAGATTCCCATGGGATGACCCAACCCTTCCACCCTCCTCTTATAATAAAAAAATGAAGCATTGATCTTGCATACATAGCTGCCAGAATAAAATGCAGGACAGAAACCTTAGTTGTCTGCATGCCAGCACACTACACTACTGCTGCACCAACAGAGAGGCTGGTTTTGATGTTTCTACATTGCTATGGATTAGAGGTTATTGGAGTAACCAAACATTTCAGGATACACAGGAATAATGCACAAACCTGTTCAGCAGCATTAGTTGAAAGCTCAAAATGTAATATGATGCAGTTCTTGAGACTGCTGTGAAAAAGATGTCGTTTGTACCAGTCCAACTACTTTCCCACCCAATCCTGTGAATAAAATACTCTTTTGGGAGGATCTAAATGTCTCTTATAACCTCAGTTTGTGGATTGGAGTATAAGACACAGTTAATGTTTGTACAGGGCTTTGAAAACATAATGTTCCATACCAGTGCTAATTATTATGATAAAATTATCTCAATTTGCATAATATGCCAATTTACACTGCAAGTTGCCTATTTCTTTTTCAGTTAAATTATCTGACGATTTCTTATTTTTGTAATGGGTACCTCTATCACTTCTACAATTTCCAATCAACACCACCACCACCATGCTTACATGGTGAGGCTCTATGGTGCTGAATGTCCCTGGTCACATTGTACAACTTTATTCCAGGACTCTGAAAGCTTCATAGGATTATCACTGATCTGGTGCAGCCAGGTCAATCGCTGAAGACTGTAGCTACCGCCAGCCTGTGGCCGGACAACGTCCCCTCCTGACCTCAAGTCTGATCTTCTGGGCTCAATTTGTGGGCACTATCTCCGATGGGGCTACATAACCAAAAAGTGCCTGCCACTGGTGCCCAATGATTTCTATCCTCTCAAGGACAGTTCTCAATAATACCTCCCTATTACTGATAAAAATCAAACCATCTTATGCCCTGCAATTGCCGTTACCAATGCATATAAGATGTCTTCTGATGAATTCTTTAAGCAATGTCCATGTTTCAGATCCATATACAGGACTGTCGCATCTTATGCGCATTTAACATGCGCGATTTCAGCTTTACGCGGTCGGCAAAAACAAAAAAAGAGAAAAATAACAATTTTAATACTGTACCTGTAGTGCGGGCGATTCCGCCCGCCATTACACTCAATGTAATTTTGACTATACGCGATTTTCACTTTAC